AAATGTCAACCACCACGCACCACTCCTACAACGCCAAAACGTAAATACGACCCCCCCTCCCCTCCCAACAATGACCAAGTACGACCCCCTTTACAACGTCCGTGAAGCGAGAAAAATCAACTATCAAAATAAATTTTTCCCAGCCCAAATACGACCCCCTCTCCTGGCGGCCAAATACGACCCCCTATTGGGGATTCCCCAACAACGATGTGCCCTGACTGCACAGCTTTACAGCACTTTACAGGTATCAACCGGAGGCATCGGTAACGCTCGATGGGAGGAGCAAAATGCCCCCATAGCCGAACTGTACCCTTACTTTTTTTATTTTATCTATTTTATTATTATCTATCTTTATCTATTTTATCTTATCGCTATTTGGGCTAATGCTGTATTCATGACGTCACCGAGGCAGCCTTCTATTTCTATAGCCTCGTAGTTTATTAACTCACAACAAGCGTTCAGAAGTATTCAATCATTCATAGTGTTAGAAGGACCCTTCGTTAGCATTAAAGCGAAGTTTGGCTCGGGAGGGGCAACAAATGGTGCTCAATGAACCCTATACAGGCCAACTCGTGAAGGCTCCTAAGTTCTTGTAGCCAAAATGGCTCACTTGTACCATTTTGCAGCTTCATCAGAGTTTCCAGTTTAATTTTTGTAAGAGCAGATACCTCCTCTTGGCCGAACAACGCTCGACCATTTACTTGTAACTGACTTTTTGTTTTTGGGAACATTCAACTTTTATTTTTTAGTATTTCTTGCTAATTCTTACATTTTAAGGTCTCCCTGTTTGTGCGTTCGATTGAGAAATCGTTAAGTGGCATGGATGCTCGCACGTTCGCTTTGGCACGATTGGAAATATCGCGGGTTCTCTTTGATTGCCAGTATGGAGACAGAAAAATGGTCTAGTCATATATGATCTCCTTCCGGTTCACTGATCTCATCGTAGTTTAGAGCTCAGTAGATTTCATGTAATCTTTGCGGGATCATCCATATCACCGCAATAGAATGGGCGGGGCGTCGTGACACCATCGCATAGCGGTTCATCGGCGATTATGGGGTGGGCGGCAACTTGCAACCCTTGTGTTTTCTCTATTGATACGCACCTTATTGTGATCCGATAAAGACTAAGGAAGCGCCAGTGGGAAACACGCAGTAGTAGTTGGACTTCGCCCCATATAATTATCTTGAATAGGTCAGCAACTCTGAAAGGGTCGACCAGCCTCTTTCTGATACATTCTTGACGAGGGGATACATTTCTGAGAATATCAGAAAGGATCGCTGCCGGCCGTAATCTAGAGGGACCTCACGCGCTGCGACACGCGTGCGTGCCACGCCCACTCTCTTCTCGTGATATGGAAGATACTATCCCTCACTAGTCGAGCTTCTAGATGTCTTGGTTAGTTATTAATTTAATTCTTTTCCGGTTGTTTAATAATTATTTCAATTTCAATTTGTAAGACACATTATGCAGAGCATTAAGTCCTTTTCTGGGTCCTTATATCATGACATAGTCATAATTTTCGGTGTGTTGTTGCCATTGTTGCTCTGCCACGTCTTATCATCATCTTTTGTCGTGTTCCATTTCTAGTCATCAACGGTGAAAACAGTCAATTCATAATAAATTCATTTCAAGCTCCTGCGAAAACTCGTCCACTCTCCCGGCCGCCCCTCATATGCAAACTCGTCCACTCTTCTGGTCGCGAGCACGCATTTTCACTAAATTGCAGTTTAGTCAAAAAAGGGTTCTATTTCGCGTCATTCCCAGGATCTACCGAGGTTTTCGCAATTGATCTAGCAGGAAAATAGCCTCCACTTTTCTGGGGAAACTTCCCACTTTTTATCGAAAACTGCTAATTAAACAGCTGGCAATGGTGACTTCCCATAGAAGGGGAGAAGGACAAGACCTGTGGTTTGTCGCGTCGTCGCACGTGGTGCATGTTGCGGCGATGGGCGGGAACTTCTCGAAGTGCTTCAGATTGCGGATTCGAGCAGTGGAACTAAAAAGCACAAGAGGAGACACTATTCGACTGGCAAAATTGAGTTTTCACGTCTTTTCAACGCTGAAGTTCAAAAGCCAGCCACTACAACTACAACTCGTCCGCGAGCGCGGCGTCGCTGGCCACTCCCATCAGTGCGGCATATTACGATTGTTTTGCCACATGCCCTCGAGATAGTTCTAGGGGGTATGCGGAATCAAAATGGTATTTGGGATGCCAGGTGGACTGAAAAATGGGAAGACATAGCGAAACTGTGGGGTTTCCTCGAATATGACTTTCTCTTTCGCAATTGATCTCGAGCGCTGTACAAGCGTGCGGTGAAGAATCACTGGGAGCCCGAATGGGAGACCAGATGGAAAAGAGCAGAGAAACGAGGGGGAGGAGGCCGAAGTAGTACCACTAGTGTTCAGTGTAGTGTTTCTGGGTTTTGTTACACCGGCGAAGAATGGCCGTAGCGCTTTTACTGGCGAACCATGGCCCTGGCGCTTTTTAAGAACAGCTTTGAGTCCTGGAGCAGGCACATTCGGCACAAGTGTGACTCCGAGCCATTCGTTTCACTCACGGCAACGAAGTGTTACCTTCGAGAACTCCACCATCCTCTATTGTTTGACCTGAACCCTTCACTGCTTCATGTAGGCGCTCACTAGTCTGTTCTGCTAGTGCTGGGCTATCCCGGAACCCTATTGATCTCTAAATGTTCTGTAGCACAACCAGGCTTCCTAAGGCTATAAGTTTGTGGTAAGAACTGTCTTTACAGATCAACAGCCCTAGCAATGTGAAGTAAAGGGCTAACCTACTCGCAGCTTACTGATGAAGTGTGAGCTGAAGAGAAAAGAGTAAAAAAAAGTTTATACAAAAGAAAGTAAAAAAGTTTATACAAAAAGCAATGATGATTACAATTGCTTCAGTTCTTTCCTCTGCTGGGATTGAAGAGATTTCGAATCTTCGGGGTGGCAACTCCTAAATTGGAAAAATTTCTATTTGTTCTCTTCTTGCGTAATTCTCCTTCTATTGTAAAGTTTTCGAAGGAAAAATTATCAAATTTTACATTATATAACCCTATACATATAATTACACTCAAGTTCAGTTCAGTTTCAGTTTTGCAAACGAAGAGAGCGGTATAGCGGGGGACAGGGGAGTGAGGGTGGGAACTGTCGTAGCAGGGCGCGGGCGCTTTGTTACCACCGACTCGTCCTGAACTCCAGCAATTGGTGAGAAAGGCGGCCTTGGCTGCCCTCCAAGCAGGGAACACCCCATCGATGGGGGACATTCCTGCGAAACACGATACCCTCGGATTTCCTTACGGCCATCCTCCATTTCGATCGTTCTTTTCCCTCATGCTGTTTTTGGAACTTCCCGCTTAATTCTTACACGTTCTTTTCAGGAATTTACCAGAATTTTTCAGCTTTCCACCCCACCCTCACGAAAACCTTGACGTCGGGGGGATGGAGAGGCCACCAGCTAATAACTAGGGGTTGTGTAGGGGTTTTGATGCGCCGTCAACCCCAGGAAGGCTCCCTCCAGCGCCAAAATACGACCCCTCTGAAGGTCCCCCAGCGCATGACGTGCCCTGGCTTCTTCTGCGTAGATTGCCCGATTCACGACTTGGCTCACCATTTTTTGGGAATTGTAGCTCCCTTGACTTGCCCTCAGGTCATTTACCTATTGTAAACGATTCTTGTAGGAAGATTTCTAGTGCCCAGTCTATGGTCTAGGGATATCTTTGAAGCGGCGTTTGCCGTCATGTACATTACAGGACTTCTTACGCGTTCTTATACGTTTCAACGCGTTTTCTGCGCGTTTCTTTCATTCTTACGCGACGCACCATCACATGCGAAGCATTTTTACCGGGACCTAATTGATTTCACATCTTGGCAGTGGTAGATTATACCAAGAAGTACTCGACGAGTTTCTGCAAACCGCAACGACTTTCAAAGTACAAAGTACTTGGTTGGTGGAGGGGCTAATGATCGCATTTGGTCTGGATAACTTTTGATTTTTATTTTTCCTGTTTCAGATGCACTATATATTCTGCCCTTCGCACCTTTGGTCAGTGATGTAGACATACTACAGGCAAGTTTATCGGGTAGGAGCGCTCGGCTTCTTGTATCTTCGGGGTGCTCCGGAGAATTCTTCCTAATGCCGGCACCTTCCTGTGTGGGACATGCAAGAAAAGAAACAGTAAAGCGCGAGCTGTTTCCCTCAGGAATCTTGTGAGATCTTGTTCCCTGAGGAGTGTCAACGGGCCGGCGTAGCGCGGCGGCTAGTTTTTCACCAATTGGGAAAGCTGGCAGGGCATCACAATTGCTAGAAAACTGGGTGGCATAGCGCTAGACTCAGCCCTACCCCTAAAACACCCCAGCGTCCGCAGTGAACAAGACTGTATTATCCAAGTGTGTTGCGTCTCTGCCTGTGTTCGGTGAACGGAAAGAAGCTGAGTCAAATGTTCGTGCACTGACCTTGCTGTCCTGATCTTGAAAAAAACAGAATGTCGTCTAAAAAAGGCAATAATTGAAAAATGGGCTCACTTTCGAGGAACATTTCCGTGTCCATAAGATACGGATATTCACCACCATCGGTGTGAATGACAACCATTGCAAGACTATACAAAGAATGTGCAGTCCGTTTTGAAAGTTTCATATCGCGAATCTGTTTGTAGATATCTCGAGGTTTAAGATCGAGGTCTGACATGATTTTGTAGACCTGAAAAATCTTGTAGTATATGATTGAACGATCGAAAAAAACGATTTCAAGGACTGAAGGCCCATACTGCGTCCATCGTGTACGCTCCATGTCTCGGCGATGTGGAGGGCGTGGCGGCGCTGTTTGTCGACGGGGGGGCATTTTGTATTATCATTGCTTCCCTAGTTCCGGTTTACAAATCTCACTCTGGTAAAACTTGTGAACTCTTGTGAAGCTGAAGTAAGATCGTCTAGCCACTATCCTAAAACGTGTCAACTCGAGAAACGGCTGCCTAGATGGGTCGACACATCTATGGAAAGCAAAATGCCCCCGTCGACAAACTGCGCCGGGCGCGGCTGCGTACTTCATGTCAGCATGGCGTAAAATGCGCTTTCAAAGAAGATTATCCTTTTGAGAGACATGTCTTCCTGTCGCTGTGCTGGACAACAAACATTGAGTTGACCCGAAACGGCAATATCACACCAAAGGCGTCGTCACGTCTGTATGTAATACGCAGTCACGCCCTCCCCATCTCCGAGATGTGGGTTGCAGGCGTAGACAATGCCTCTATCGACAAGAACGTTGGAATACGTGCAGATATACTTCTTAGGGACAATGCAGACCTACATGAGACCCGCTGACACGTAGGTCCTACGTTAAAAGTTGATGGAGAAAGATGAAACTGGACGCCTTGGCTCGGGATGGGGCACTTTGAGTCGCACGTGAGCTGACAGGCTTTGATTTCAGAGACTTGTGAACTCCGACCTGTATACTGCAAAGAGTCGTAATAACTAGGTTTCAAAGTCGTATAACTAGGCCACTAGGGTTATAGAATTTCACAGGTCTTCACAAAGTAGCCTAAACTGATAGTAAGTACTGTTTGGTGCCCCCAGAAAAGCGAACTTTGCCGCTGAACTGCTCGAAAAATGTTCTATTTTCCGATACCCTCTATTTCGTGCTACCCTTGCACTTCATAGCAGAACAGTACCTTCGGATAGACCTTCGGCAGTTCCTCGAGAGTCATTGTCATATTTTTGTTGACATCTTTCCAATAATTTTCGATTTTCTTGAAGTATTCGTTTACTCCTTTCTGAAAACTTTTCTTCAAACTGGTCCATACGACATCTCTCCCTTCCGAAATCCTTCAAAATTGCAGTCGGCAGAGTAAAACCTATCATTGCCCTCTCATTTCCGAAAAGATGAAGCAGAGAAGGGAAGCGTAATGAAAGGTCTAACTCCGCCCACACAATGAAGGTGAACAGCACTTTTGATTTAATGGTCAGCTACACTTACCTCGACCTCCGAACCCTGTTTCTTGGCCCATTCGTTGACTTGCTTGATCTTGTCATTCATCGACGTGAACATGTTCGAAATAATTGCGTAGTAATCCCACCGTGCATCAGCACTCACGTGTCTATACAAATTTAATAGTTCAATGTAATAATTTTGTGCAGCATATTGAGTCTAAGGCAGCGTTCAGACTTCGCGACGGCAGCGCTCCATCGCGCGATTTGACGATCGATGCGCATGCTTTCGACTGCATCGATCGCGTCGAACGCGCGACCGAAGCGCTGCCGTCGCGAAGTCTGAACGCTGCCTAAAGAGGGCATTGGTGTGACATGGACGGAGGATTTTGAAGGACGGTTTATCATTCAGCAACATGCTAAGACACTCTCCTTATGGACAGACTGCGCTCACTTCTAACGGCTAGGAGACTAAGACAGCTCATCCAAAAAAGCATGAAAATAAAGCCGAAAGCTACTGATGCAATGCTGTTGGCGCCCGCCCCACTCTCCTAAAGGTGCAGTACTTGCGGCGCAGCGAAACACGCCCTCAATAAGAACGAACAGATGTTTTGGGGTGGGAAGCGGGAGCGACACTAGCAAGTCCACGTTTCTCCTTGATTGCCTGGGCAAAGACCGAGTTGTACTGTCTGCACTCGCTACTCCTACACAATCGGTTTTACGCGCATTTGGGGTACCGTATATCGCCTATTTTCATGAACTAGTAATTTAACCCATTGCGTACCGCGGCGTTTTCTGGCTGCCGCGTGTGCCCGAGCCATACTTCGCAACCTCGGCGGGCACGCAGAGCGGTATTTCTCGCGCCCGCAGCGAAGTATAAACTCAACGTACGTCATTTCGCTTCTCCAGGCTATTTTTTTGGAAACTACGCCTAATTTATGGTAGCCGTTCCAGATAGGCAATGATGGACGCGCTGAATAGATCGTTTGATGAACTTCTGATTGAAAGTGATGACGAAGTGATGGAACAGGGCCCCGA